GCAAAATGTCAAAAAAGTAGGAGGGGACTATGTATACTTAAATTTGCGTTATTCTTCTGTGGTTTTGCTCCAGAGAACCATGAAAAGTCGATAGAAAAAACAGCGATGGCTGTTTCTGAACGTTTCACTACACGGACAGCAAAACCAAAGTGTCGACCGCTACCAACCCTGTCCCTATACAAACAAATCAGGGGGCAGTAGAAATTCACCTCTGTAGAGTGAGCCATGTATGAATGACTTGGGACATTTTTAAAGTGTTTTTGAGGCGGTGACATGATAAGTTTGTTCAGACAAAACACACTTATTTGCAAATTGTATTGGTGCTGACAAGAGACTCAAATAAACCTCCCGTCCAACACGCTACCAGCCAGCATAGATTGAAAATCACTCGTCTGTCTTGGTTTAAACAACCACGAGGACAATAAGAACAATCGTTACGTGCTACAAAACACCTGCACAAACAACAACGGCTAGCGGTTGTTGAAGGTCAGTGATAATCCGGAAATATCGCCTGATCGGATGATCCATGTTCAAGGTTACGCATTAAAACAATCACCTGGTCACAGGACCACAACAACCGCAAAACAAGAGGCAAAGCCGATAAAGTTGCGGTGATGTGGCAGCACGTGACTGTTGAAAGCCGGTGTGAAAAAGTGTCACACATCTATCTGCATTTTGGGTCAGGAAGAAAAGCGACATGTGCAAAGTTTTGGGTTTCTTTTAACTGAGACTTCAACCGGTAACTGGAGCCAGTGCACGCTGAAAAGCCGAGAAGTTCTTGGTTGCTCAGCTTTTCGGCATAGACTGGAATCACTTGCAGGAACAAATCTCTATTGCGAATACTGAGATCTCCTCACACTACCAACATTCTAGGTTATGAGCAACCACTCCGGCATTGTAACCGATCCAGTTCGGCTAACGTAGTTCATGTTGCCCGGGGTAACAAAGACTACGGCATAATCAGGGGTGCGTTGTATGTCAACCCATGACCAATATAACTCAGCAGTTAAGGGCGTGCACATACGACAGTTGCACGCAAAGCATGCCACCGAAATAACTGATCCCTTATGAGAATTCGAAGGCCTAAAAATAAGTTTCATCGTAATGGAGAAGTAACGACAAGTCAGAGTAAATGAGCTTTCGAACAACAGTAATTCTCCCCATATGACCAAGCCATACGCAATTCAATATAGAAGAGTAGGCAGATATCTGGACTAGCCAAGTCAGAATTGACTAGATGGCATTGTTCTTAAGCTCCGAATTTCGTCATAAGCATTTCTTACGGGTCCCATCACAGCTGGTGCGATTGTATTGACATGGCGAGCTTGATGTCCGAAAGGAATCAATACCAACGGGTGGTAGCATGAATCATTTATTCACCCACAGTAAGTTGTTTCAATGACGGCAGACGGTAGTGGGACCGATGGCAAATGGTACAACTTTGCCAGAAACTACATCGATGGGTACGTGGTGAGGACTGTGACCCAAAAAATATCAGTTCACGCACATTCACGTCCACCTATACTGACGTTGGGTGTATGACGTAGTCTTTCAACATCGAAAGTTGAAAGTTTGGGAAAAAAGCGAACTCTAGAGGAGTGACGTAAAATCCTAGAGCAAATAAAAAGTTAAGTGTGTCGGTAGTCACTTGAAGTTGACGAGGATTCCGACTCAAATAATCGTACGAAAACAAGTGAAATCTTGTGCATAGCTATACAACCAATTTGAACGTTGACTAACACTTTTGTTGAGAATATCCCACCCTCGTTGCTATCACTACTTAAATACCCACCTGTTTTTCGGATTCGCACTAGAGATCAAGACACGTTGCTATGAGTGCAACTTTTCGACTACGTCCACAGTTCTCACGGCATGAAACCTGTTCGTCACATCAACTTTTTGTCCTCATCACGTTAACGTCTTACTATATCACCTTGGAGGTTAACCCTGTTACTTCATTCACCTGATTGCTGCCTTAGTTTGAAATGGGATGCAAGACACTACATCAATCAGCACTTTCAGGCATGGGTGGTAGAATTAGCTGATTCAATTGAGTAGAATCGTCAATAGACGCAGATTCGGCATGTATTGCGGGCGCATTCCGATTCCTCCTCCCCCAGATCAAACTGTGAATGAATCTTCGTTCTGCACACCCATCATCAACATCACCAGCAGCAGCAACAGTAACATCGTTCTTGACACTAATGTCTCATTGTCGTACAACCACGAAGTCTAATTACATTTAGAGCCTTCAAGTGAATAAAAGAAAAAGATTATATGAGGAGGAAACCCGGTACTAGGGTACAACAAGGATTTTCGGGTGCCTACACCTCCAAATGCTGTCACATAATATGGGAAGAAACTGACAACATGAGCACTGTATACATTTGTTAACTGCCATTACTTGTGGTCAAGCATAGGAAGGGGCACGGAAACCCTATCTTGAAAGGCGGACCATATCAATAGCAACAAGGCATTAGTTACTTTCCAGGAAGACCAGAGTTACAGTCCGTTGGTCTCAATGTATATTTGATCAAAGTGGGATAAACCACTCAGGGGGGATTTCGGCGCTGATAATTCAACGCAGTTCTGCGATGGACCACCTACGGTAACAAATGCACCTGACCTTATGTAGCAATTGGGAGAAGTTAAGAGAAACTTTAGGAATTCCACAAATGCCAGGCGAATGGAAAAATTGCACCATACATTAGCCGTGATAAACTCCATAACATTCTTAACGGAACCAAAAAATCAAGAGTCTGAATGGCTCGTCACTGAAAAACATTACCCAATAAAAGCAGATGCACCAGCATATCCCGATTCTGAGAGTGTATCTCAAGGAATATTTGAACCCATCCTAACCCTTCCTGAGTTGTAGAAAGGTGAAAGAAGCCTCAAGTACAGTTTCGAAGACGGAAACAAAAAAGGCGGAGGAAACCCGTGCCTAACACCAACAGTACAGGTAGCCGATGATGGTTGGTCCTCATTTAACGTCCTTACAGCAACACTGAATGAACCAACAAGTTATGCCGCCAATAAGCTGAGGGGTCCATTGCGAATTCAGATCTCATTTGAATAAGAGCGTATTATGTTGGAACGCTTTAGAGCTAAAACGGGTTGGTACACGGGCAGAAAAAATGAACTAAAATAGGTTGTATTTATGCTTAGGTTGAATTCTTTTAAAGACGAATACAGCTTGCATTTGTCTTAGGGTCCTTATATCTTAATCTCTTGAGATTGGCATCAGACAGGCTGTAGGCATAATAGTACGCTACAGTACTGTTTGAAAATCATATCCGATTGTGGAGAAGGTGGTGAACACCTATCGATAATCTGCAGCACAAGCGATCGCTAATTGTCGGTCAGTTCGGTGTGTTGAAAGCAACGGGACATTAACGGAAGCACGGCAAGGAAAGCGAACACAAAGTGCCATGCTTAAGAGTGCATACAGAGTCACGTATTTACATGCTTCCTTAAATGCCTACAGTTGGGATCCATCATCAACATCATCATCAAAGACAGCAACATCAGTGTTGGCACTGATGCTTCACTGCCGTTGGGATCCACAAAGGCGTGATAATAAGGCGGAGGTAGGAGAGTGAAAAGGCAGTGATGAAAGAGGAAAATGGTGTGAGTAATGTGACTTCATCTAACTGCTTTAGTCTGAAAATTACACCTTCGTATGAACGTTTAAAAAATAACGTCCAACACTTACAGACGCGACTCACCATACGCTTAATCCGTTTACACTAATCTGTGAAAGCCCCCAGGTTTACTGAAAATTACATGGTCCATGATGTACCGATAGTTAATCAATACAATAGTCAGGTCGGTCCGTCGCAGAAAGAACGCATGGAATGCAGTGGGGTGATGCAATAAGTAACAACGGGCCGCAGTTACATAGAGAGATATAACTGTACGAAGTCGGTTCATCATTCCACAGTGCGGTATTTCTTCAATTGAATTAACATAACTGAGTAGCAATAAAACAGGTGCTTAAGGCTCCCAGAAGGAATAAGGGTGACTAATAGGATGAAGGTTTGGTGAAATCAGTCACCTAATCCAGTTGATGAAAGTACTTATCCTGGGGTTGAATTTCTGTAAGCATGAACAAATTCGAAAGGCGGCAAAGTAAAACCGCGAAGTGCAAGTCCGTGACTTGTTCCTTTTGGACATCCTGTTTGTTCCTTTGAAACAGCATGCCCTCTAAAGTGCAAAAATATCAGTTTGATTTTCAAAGTTGTGGTGGTGGCAGTATACCCACGAAACCCAGTATCAAACGGAAAATCGGAGGAATTAAGTTACGAGCAATACTGAACACTTCAAGCTTAGTGAAGAGCACCCGATCTACCGGATACCATCATCAATGAAGGCAATACACCAGTAATTCATGCTGGCACTTAACCACTACTGAACCCTGCGGAAAGAATGTCCTAAAATAGTTGGAAGGAAAAGGAAGGGCAGAGACTTAGCGAGCCGGCCGAGCAAACTATCGGCATAAACAAGAACGAAATCGCCTGTGTTACGAGTAATGGAAGCGTACATGTAAAATGAAGAGCTACTGGTGGGAACTTAGCAACAAGTTCCCAACACCTGCTCGTACGTACGTGTCTAGCCTTATTTTTTGAAGCGAAACTGAGTTCACACGTTACAGTTATCATTTCGAAGCGTGTGCGCGTCTATTAACAGTTGCACTTCTTATATGTACACAACTAACCCTGTTTAGATAAAGGTAGCATCTTATCCCTTCTGCTCGACATGACTCTTGTTCACCAACGAAGTACTGCATTTCACTGACAGGTACTACGGTAGACTTCGCCGTGCATTGTCCTTCCCAGTGTCGTTCCCAGTTCCTACAACCCAGAGCGCCACCACGTTCAGAAGAGACGGCTAAACCTATGGTAGTCACTGCCTCCAATGAAACCCCACTTTGACATACCATCCGAGTGATAGCGAAGTGAGTACACCGGGATAAAATGTTGAACTATTTGGAGTCTTACTTCTCCGAACGCGCCTTTGCCAATAATTTTGAGAGGGTAAAAGTCATCCACCGTGAGGCGAGCACGCTTGAGTCGAAGAAATTCGCTCTCCTTCAATGCATGCTGCATTCGTTTGGCCTGTTTCTGAAAGAAATAAGCAGAGAGCTCGTGGAGGTCAGCTTGTGTTTGAAAAGATAGGAAAGCCACAGTTCATGTGAACATGTAACCTAGCTACTCGCATAAGCTACCAAATGATGAAATAATGATAACAAGACGCTTCATGATTCAGTTGGCACGATATTCGAGATATCGAAGTATATTTTCATAAAGGAAACTACTCAAAAGGTTGCTGAAAACTCTTTGACCAAACGACTCCGTAGCCGACATGAGGGGGATTTCATCCCAGGGAAGCTCAGTAACTTTTTACCTGATTTCATCCCTCTAAATCATAGCGTGCATTGTGACTGCCAAACTGAAGATCCCTCACCAATAACCCAAAAATTCCATGTCCTACTGGATCACTGGTCGTTTGCCACAGCAACTGCAAACAGACTCACTGGCTGCAACGAAGTTTGGAGGGACGTGGTAAACGGATACATAGGAAGAAAAGTAAGATGATAAGGTTGACGGAAACTCGGGGACTGCGCCTACCTGATGAGCCCCAAGAAGGGCGAAACCGGTCGTGGGCTGTCAAAGAGTTTTCAGCAACCTTGTGAGTAGTTTCCTTTATGAAAATGATAACAAGCATTTCTAGAAAACGACGGGTATATAAACCCGAAATCCACAATAAGGGTAGGTATATCGGAACGTATTCACTAGCGTATTGAGTTTCCATACTTAAAGAATATGAACTAATGAGTCCACAAGATACTGTAGTCTTTCATGCACACGGTGAATTAAAAATCGACGATAGTACATTTTATTCTCACTCTCAAAAATGGCCACCCGAAAATGGAGTCACCGCTGTGGGGTTTCCCATGCTGTTTGGATGTATGCCACACTCTAAGAAGGAACAATAGCTTATGCCAAATGCATACATGGATCATATCTTGAGTGTACTTCTCCTTGCAACCGGTCCACTGACATGCAGCTGTGACCAACATGTCTGGATTGTTGTCAGGCTGAGGAAACTGCCGGTCGCAATATTAAGGAGGCGAATACTTAATGGATCTGCAGGAGACTATATCAGCCATGACAAAGATAGGAATACAAAGCGGTTGTGACACTTTCTAATCTGGATTTGATGAATGGCTTTCAGCATGACTTGATGAATAATGCTCACTCTATCTTTGGTTCGGGTGTTCCCGAGATGCAAAACCACTAAACATGAAGCACCATGTCTAGGTTTATTTCTGATTGACTTAACTAGCTTGTCGTTTGGATCAAAACGACACTTTGCACATAAAAAGCAAGAAATATCTCAGAATGTAATACCGCGATGCGTATCGAATCTGCCATTCAAGACCACGTGGAGAGTACTAGTCTCAACAAAGAGAGTATCACCGTGAGAAGCTAAATCACCACAGTTCAAAACAATGGTATTTCCAGACTGTCTCAGCCGGTCGCGCGGCTAAATCAAAACAGTAGCCATTAAACTAATTCCTTTGACATTCCACCGAAATGTACAGGCAGGCGTGAATCAGCTTTCGTTTCATCGATGAGAATGGTCATATATGCATTACCAATAAATGTACACATAGACGGAAAACGTCAATTGCCTACTTGCTCTTCATTGAGTCCTTCGCTTTCCATCATAGACTCGAGGATTTCGTACCGGCTTCGACGCTCCCTGTATTGCACGATCAAATTGTCGTAATAGTGTTCCAACGTGATCTTGGCAACCTTGACCCTATCCAAAGTGTGGCTGCTGACACTGAGACCACCACTCACTGGGGAAGCAGCAGAGCATGTTGTACCGGCTCCACCAACCGCATTTGTTGTTTGACTTATCCCGTGGTTTGTTTGATCGTTTGTCATGGAAGACGTCGTGGATTTTTGAGAGCCTAGTAAGACACGTTCAAGTTTCCCAGTGCCATTGGAAGTGTGATATGTACGGGTTGCACCGACTGACATTTCGAACGCGCCTCAGAAGAACGCATCGAGAGCACAACAGTGAGAGGTAGAAAGCTGAAATAACCGTAATGGTGAACGTTTATTGAACGAAATTACAATAACTGGTATTAGTCATCCAGAGACTGGCATGCAACCACCACAGCTTAATTTCTCATTGCCGACACCATCACCTACAGTAAATGCGAATAGTTAACTGCCGTACAATGAAGAAGAGTCCCAGCGAACAGTAGTAGGGAGTAGTGGCTTGGTGTAAAAGATTCTAGTGCACTACTTGAAGCGATTTACAGCAAGGTTCCAGCCTCTTCTTTCAGCACTGAAGTACAAGTCGGAGCATCGTCTCGAACCAAAATAGCACAAGAACAACTCAGGATCTTTACAAATCCGATAAAATAGCAGCAGAAATCTTAGCCGGTGGCCCCAAGTAATAATTGTCAAAATGATCTCCAAAATTCACTAGTTTCTAGAATGTTAGTGTCTTACTTGACACTGTTGGCCAACAGTGCCAGTATGCACAGCCCCTACGAATACGTATCAGATATCAGCTGCGTCTCTAGGACAACGAATCCAGGTCTCTGGTTCAAATGATTTGTATAGGCTCTATTATAATAGACGAACGCACAACCCATGCCTCCACGATGTTGAAGTTGCTTCACTTAACAATACCAATAATCTGTCTCGATTACCGACTGGAATCCAATAGCCCCAAGGACCACTCTCGAACCTTACTGTGGCAGCCGTTTTTGTCCCCAAGTCTTTATTGGACCCAGACATAAAGAATAAACTAACGCCACATGTGGTTGAGATGATAAGTCTATAGAGTAGCGAGTGGCTGAAACGCTCGAGTTGGTGAACGAGAAGACAACACGTCCATTACATCTAGTCGGTTTGGATTAGCATAGCGCTGTGTCAATGGTGACAAGCTGATAAACCTCGCCTCTCCCGAATCGACCTGCTGTTACCAGCATCTCAAGAAAACGCCTATTAGCATGCCACCCAAACGACGACCGGAATCTCCCACTGTGCAAGCAGGGTGATCCTCATCAACCGACGATTTCAGTTCTTATAGCGATACGGACTCGCGTGATGTGGTCTGGCCATTCTGCTTGGAAAGACTTGAAACTAACACAAAATGACGGTAGAATGAGGCGCTTCGAACGTGATTCCAATTTTCAAAAACGGCACAACGTCATGCGAAAGTTAATGAAGCATCATCCTGACACCCGTGGAATCCAAGTTGCTCTCTGGCATTAGTTTACGCAGGGTGATCGGTTATCGGGAAACACATGAGTGAGAATCAAGCTGGGATATACTATGGTTGGAAATGCCTCTTCCAAACTCTCAAACGTCCAACGATAGCCACTTTTCTTGACATGACGGTCGTCAGAAAATCTGGCGGTGCATGGTGACCAGGGGTGTCACATTTAAGAGCACTGCAGACTGACTCCTATTAGCACATATGGGTACACAGCAAACTGTCGTTGGAGTTCACCAGCGAGCCAGGGCTGGGTCCTCTCATCATTGCTCTTCAACTTTATCATTGAAGTGCGACTTGAAACTTCTCTGCCTGTCTCCGAAGACTCTCAATATACCTCTCCTCGGTCTATATTCCTCAGAGATGCACGTCATGTTTTGGTATGGGCTTCACACCGTTGGAGTGTAAGGTGCTGCTACGCAAAGAATCGAGGTGGTTGACAAATTAATTTATCTGGGCAGTTAGTAATGGACTGGCTGTTGACGAGATCACTTCTAAGATCAGGAAGGCCAGGACAGCTTTTACCAACCTTATGCATCTGTATCACCGGCCTGACGTCAGCTGGAAGAGAATTGTCAGGAGAAGTGTCGCGACGATGTGATTCATACTTTTACACATTAGAAACATGGCCCCTATGCGCAAAGGGCGTGCGAAAACCTTCGGTGTTTGACCATCGACGTCTTCGAAGCATTCCTTGGGTCCGGTGGGAACATCGATTTGGTAATGCTGAGGTGGATCGAGATGTCTCAGTGGTTAAGGCGCGAAGGTTCGTGGTTCGAAACCGTCCTCTGCATCTCGATTGCTCTTGTCTGGACTTGGGCGATCATGCAGCATCTCAGCCTCAATGCCTTCTCCAGTTGGTATGGCAGCTGATCTTGAAGTACGCCAGGTGGTTTCAAGAAGGAACTCTCCAGAGGTGAACGACCTGCTCACAATTAATAGTTTACGACGGTTAAATGTACTTCCATGTCAGATATTACGCAGAGTTCGCGAGGGGTACAGGGACCAACGAGTCCGAAGTCATGAGTACACAAGAACGAACAGTGAAGATTTGGAGCGAACATATTTATCTACGGGAGATCGAGAACCTTTGTATCAGTCATGATGTGGGTTTATCCAACATCTTATTGCAAGTGTTCATGGGACCGTTGAGGCCTCATTGACTCGGAATCACAAGTGGGATGATAATAGGCCAGCGCACTCTGGATGTTTCGATACGGCGAAAATTCACAAAAAAAAACGACTATATTTACCCCACTGCCTTACAAGAAGTTCCTTCAGTGCTGACTTCAGTTCATTTATTTTCAACGCTTAGGTCACGCGATATGCGATAGGATTCACCTTTCAGCCACGCACTGGTCATGGACCGGAAACACATTCTTTTCCGGGTTTCTGAACCAAATACATGGGTTTAAGTCTGTTAGCTGGGTTTTTCGTTCACCTTTCGAGGCGATTGGTTGGAAAAACCAGCAACCAACTCCCTTGTTGACCAAAAGGTTGCCCGAACCATAACGAAGGGAATTCCAATCCTCATGACTTCGATCATGGGTTCCCCGTAGGGGCTAAGCGTTCCTTTCGGAGTTCATGATCAAAATTCTTATTTGGATGCGTTGCCTTCTGCCAACAAGGCAGTCCCCAGCCATGTCACTTTCCCCTTCGGCAGTGAAGCATCGGTGTTGGACACTGTCATGCTGTCGACGATGATGATGTGACTTCGCTGTGCTCTAGAGCAGTCACTCACAATAATGTGGCTAACCACAATCGCATTTAAGTTCGGCCTCTCGTCTGACTCTACACGGAGGGCTGGTGTCCATCAATCTGCCAATGGTTTGCAGGTGTCCTTGACCCTGAGACAACAGCAGGGAACAACGAATAAAAGCACTGCCCATGAATTAGGTGTCAGGCTGAAAGTTCTGTTGTCGGTCTGTCTCTGGAAGAGGTGAGAGAGACCGTTTTGTTGTTTTGGATGAGAAGATATCTCTTCTGGATTGTTGCACAGTACGATTTCTTTGTCAAATTTGCAAAGGGATAGGAGAGTATTGCCATACATTGCTCGTCAAACTCTCCTGGATCTTTTTGAATGGTAGCTGAAACCCTAGACTTCATTTCACTCATTGAATGAAGGTAAGGATATTGGGTCTGAGCTTTTCTCACCTTTTAAGTGTGGTAGTGAGTGGTTCAGTTGTCGTACGGGTTATGCTGATACACTCTATAGTGCCTGGAGGTGCTGACCAAACCGTACCATGGGGTTCTTTGGGTGCCAGAAGCTTCATCGGTTTATCACGCATGAGCTCCTAGCCACAAAGCGTATAGCAGTAGTTAGGTCAGGTGTTGCTGGGGTAAGGGTAGAGTCATATGATTTTAGCACTCCACACAAATGTAAAGTTCTTAAGGTACCAGCACAATACACGTAACCATCGGTTGTATATGACGCTGGAAGTCAAGTCTTCACAAAGCCTACCCAACTGTGTCTGGGTCTTCCGTAAATGGCATTGTATCACTGTGTTCAGAACCCCATAATGAGAACTGAGAATCAGCACCGATGGTGCTTGTAACTTACCGGAACTTGTGGAGAACTACGTCCCCATGTTGGCCCAATCGAGAACAAATGAAAATTTCTCACGAGATGCACTACTATCACATTCATTCGCGAGCCAAAAAAACCACCAAAGATATGAAATTCCATCCACACATAACCTTCGGGGACATGGATCAAGCAAGAGTCCAGAGCTTGTCTGTTTCCGTGAAGCGGTGCACCAAACAAGGAAACGTAATACCCTTGCAGTCCGTCTTAAAATAGACCGGCGTTCATCCATTAGTTATGACGCGTGCTACCAACTGAACTCCCTCAACTTCCTCCGGGTTACATCACAGCGATGGACCGCTTGAGGGAGACTATACTGGGAAGCCACTTGGGAGTTCTGATAACACGAACCTCAAATCATTCGGAGCTACCGAGAGCGAGACGACTGCTGCTCCGCAAGGTTAATGTGAATGACTCGAAGATTATTTGGTTCAATGTATCCAGAGGCCGTTTGCGCTTTCACCGTACTTGGTGTATGGACAAAACGTTGCATTTCCACTCACCAGAAAAGAAGTCAAGACGCTGGCGTACATTCAGGGACCGATCTAACGCGGCGATTAGACTTGGAAAGATGGGTGGCAGGGGTTGGAACGACTAGATGTTCCTGACTTGCATACCACCAAATAAGAGGTTGTTAAACGTGGATATGAAGGGAAATGCACAACAAAAGCCCAACGCAACAGCATTACATTGTGGCTGACAGCACAACCACTCTCTAGCATACTTTTGAGCTCTTTCAGTACATCAAGTTTGAATGTTTTCGTCGTTCCACTGTCAGGACTACTTTACTCGCAAAACAGCTGACCCAACAGCCGTGAACCCATAGGCGTTACAAGGATGAGCGCGACAAATAGACGAAAATGAGGATCACATGGTGCTACGCAGTTGATTCTCGCAAATAACGGTTTCGGGCCGATTTACCAGAAAGTGACGAATCGAAAGAGGATCCACCACCACTTTCCAGCAGGAGTGGATGACCCACCGATTCGGGGACCGGCAACTGACCGCAGGACTACTGGGGAGGCAAGAAGCGACAGCAGTCCGATAGCAATTTCTATCCAATCAGCGTTCTACCAGTGACCTTGAGCACTTAACCTAGATTGATCAAGTCTCTGCGTTGTGTACTATGGTGGACCCTACTGTGGGTGGAGGGCATTACGTGTATGGAGGGTCTTACGCGTAGTACGCGTAGTACGGGGATGCAAACAAACGGAAGAGAGA